CTTAGTAGATACCTATTGACACAACATATTACACCTCATGCTATGACAGGAAAATCTCCAGCTGAGATTCTTTTGGGTCGAAGATTGATTACTGTGTTGGACAAAGTTTATCCCACTTTTTCTAGTGATATGAAATCAAAACAAGAAAAAGCATATCATTCGAAACCTATGAGAATATTTCATGAAAATGATCCAGTTTCTGGAGTAAAATGTGTAAAAATCTTACACATCAGGATCAAAATGGGTGGCTGCATCAATAGTAGAAGCAACAGGACCAATAAGCTACAAAGTGGCTACCCCAGACGGTAAAATCTTTAAACGTCACACAGACCAGCTACGTGCCAGAGATATTTCGGAAGAACAAACAGATATACACTCAGATATTAGTCAGCCCAATGCTACCAAATTCCTACCAGTGGACGACAGCGTTGAGGCTTTTATTCCGACAGAGGAGGATAGGCATATATCAGTCAAGATACCAGAGCAAGTCCCAAAAGTATCAGTCCCTGCATTGTTAGACGAGCCTAGAAGGAGTTGCCTGTTGAATCGTCCAGCCAGGATTAGGCGTCCACCAGCCTATCTTGGCGATTATAGAATGAAAACTATTTCATCCAGGAGAGATGAGTGTCATGTATTGGGTTAACCTCTCTTGTGAATATATCGTCCCTCCTTGCTAGTGACAAACGCCATGGTAAATGGCGTTAAAGAAGAGCTTTATGGTGCGACAAGGAATGACAGTGAACTGTCAAGGAGACCATTATCAAGCCCATTTTACAATCGACGTAACGTTACCGTAAAGACTAGATTTATTTGTATCAAATATGTCACCGGAAACGCAACGCAAGAGAAGATGAGAGTTGGTCATCTCTTACGTTGCGTTTCCGGTGACATATTTGACGCAAATAAATCTTATGTGCGCATGCTTAGGACTTCTGTTACGTCTTTACGGTTACGTTACGTCCATTGTATAATGGGCTTTAGTCAAAAAACGTCACGGATCGTATCGGTACGTGACAGAAGTTTTTATTTCTTTACTTTCAATACTTATTCCTGTACCTAGCCCATTGCTTTTGGGGCAAAAAAAAAAACTATCTATTGAATAGTTGATTTGGGTAGGTTTGTTTTTGATGGATTGAGATCCTGCTTTCTATCTAAAAATAGGTGGTACAGTAAACCTTGAAATTGTAGCACAATGTGGTAAAAGATATACCTATCTGATTATGTGCAAGCTACTATTTAACCTTGGTGCAGACTCAACATTAATACAGGGTGTATCAGGTTTGAATACAAAAACACGTGAAATTATGACCTATTTTGAACAAAAAAAAATAAACATCATGGAGCCCAAATTCAGCCATTTTTGAGAAAAGGCCTTTCAAGTTTTGACATTTTTTGAATGATAAAGAAAATTTTATCTAGGATCTAGATTTAAGAAAAATAATTTCAATTAATAATCAATTAGTTATGCATTTTTAGTCATAAACAATAATTTAACGATCAAATTAACTTACCTGAAGTTCGATCGTAATTATATGAAGCATCCATTCCGAAAATATATTAACTAGGTAGTACGCCTTTGGTGTACTTTGGTGCACACATTTTAAAGATTCCATTTTTCCTCATTTCACCCCTCTACCTGTTCTCCCATCCGCCCGTTCTCGGGCTCTTCATTCTAGTTTGAATTACTGCAGGTAAATTAATGTATCTGGGGAGAGAAAACCTTAAATTTCTGGGAGGGTGGGTGTTGATATCTTCGGAATGGATGCTTCATATAATTACGATCAAACTTCAGGTAAGTTCATTTGATCGTTAAATTATATTTCAGCATCCATTCCGAAGATATATTAACTAGATAGTTGTTCAAAGTATAGGATATGTTAATTTACCAAAGCAAATAACCATAATTTTATACTCAGTTTATTTGAAAAACGAAACAATAAACAATATGGAACTCTAAAGACAAAACTAAGTTGGATCGAGTAACGAGTATTATTATAACAAAAACAGACTTACATTTCTAGAAAAAAAACTTAAATCAATTTTTTGTTAGACCTAAAATGGTTTTAGCAAAATCAGAAGCCCTATTTAGAGGCCTATCATAGAATTTTGCAAAAGTCGCTGAATTATTAGTCCAACCTGCTGTTCTACAAATGGTCCCAACAGAAGTACCTAGTCGGTGAGCAGCAGATGCTGACGCATGACGCGTCGAATGGGGCCTAAACTGAGACACATCGATTCCAGATTCTTTGAGGGTATCCTTTACCCATCTAGAAATTGACTGTTTCGTGGCCCTTTTGTGCGGTTTCGAGTAAGTAAGAAAAAGGAAATCTTCTCCAACGCGAAGATTTTCTGTTAAGTTGATGTATTTCTGTAAAGTGACTGCTGGACAAATTGAAGGATTTCCAGGAAAAAAGGGTATGTGCAGACACGGTTGTGAATGCGAAGCAGCTGTTGTTTTAATGGAGTCGGTAATAAAGATCTGTATCTCGGACTCATTTGTTCGAATATTCGAAAGACGGATTAGGGAGATAGTTTGTAATCGACCTCCCGTTATTAGGGCTAAAAGTGTGACAGTTTTGAACGTAACCAATTTCAATTTATTTCCGGAAATATTTTCCAAATATTTCAAGACTGGATAAGGATCCCACGTAAAATCATATCTAGCTCGCTGAGGCCTCTTTCTTGAGACTGCTTTTAAAAATCTCTTAATCAGAGCGTCAGAACCCATGTTATCTGGAAGTATAAGAGAGAGCGCTGAGCGATGACTATTGAAAGAGCCATATTTATGAGTGGAATTATCCGTATGTTGTAAGAAGTCAAGTAGCTGTAAGGCAGATGCCTTGAACACAGAAATTTCCTTTAAGATACAAAAATCCCACCATAGCTTGTAGGTGCCGGTATATTGTCTTATTGTAGAATCTGATAGAGAGGACATCATTGTGTTTGCTGCTGATTCCGAAATACCTTTCGTTATAAATCCTTGGCGGATAATCTCGCGGCCACCAGGGAAAGTTCCTCCGCCAATGGGTGTACTGATCTAGATGGAGAAAATAATAGTTCAGTATTAGGATCAAAAAATATAGGCTTCCCGACGATAAGCTTCAAAAACAGCGGATACCAAGGCTGGGCTGGCCATCTTGGGACTACAATAATTCCTTCTGCTCTATCCTGAATTATTTTTTGGATAGTCCTTAAAACCAAACAAAAAGGTGGAAAGGCGTAAAAATTAAGATCTTTCCAGTCCAGGGTGAATGCGTCTACTGCGCAGGAACCAGGGTCTCTTAACCAAAAAACATATTCAGAGCACTTAGTATTAATGCTAGAAGCGAATAAGTCAATTTGCGGTGATCCCAGAGAAATTTTAATCTCATCAAATGCAGAGGAAGATAAGGACCATTCGGTTTCCTTTGCTAAGAAGCGAGATTCCCTATCTGCTTCCCAGTTATCCTTGCTATTAATGTAGGATGCAAATATCCAGATATTTCTAGATTCGCAGAACTGCCATATTTCCCTGGCGAGATCACACAAGTTGGGAAATTGAATACTCCCCATCCTATTGATATAGGATATGGCCGTTGTGTTGTCACATCTTAATAAGATAGAACAGTCGTAAAGGCAAGCAGCAAAACATTTTAAACCATAAAAGATAGCCAAAAGCTCTAAGAAATTTATATGATGATCTAAGTCGTTGGATGACCAAAACCCATGAGTGCGATCTTTTCCTGAGCACGCACCCCAGCCTGTCCTGGAAGCATCGGTAAACAATTCCAATACATAATTGTCCTGTTTGATGTCGTTATAAGCTTCCAGAATATTCTCTTCCCACCATTTCAAGTCATCAGCCAAAAACTTCCGGGGAAGAGAAACCGTGTTATAATCATTGTTATTTTCCAGTAAAGCCAAGTACTTCACTCTTTCAAGTCGTTTGGTGTACAACCAACCGTACTTAACTGCAGGGCAAGCAGATGTAAGGAGACCAATGAATCTGGCCAGGTCACGAATTTTGCAAGAAGATTTGTTCTTGATTGACATTGCTGAACTTTTAATTTTGGATTTTTTCTCTTGTGTTAAGATTAGGCTTAGTGTTTTGGTATCATAAATAAAACCTAGAAACGTTTTTCTAGTGGTCGGTGTCAGGGAACTCTTTTCATAGTTAACTATCAGACCTAGTGACTCTATTAGTGTAAGGGCTTTGCATACGCTCTTACTACACTCCTCGAAAGAATCACCAAAAATCAGAAAGTCATCTAGATAGTTTACACATGTAACTTCTTGGGAGCGAAGGATTTCTAGAACGGGTCTGATAAGCTTTGTAAAACAATGGGGAGCTGAGGACAAACCGAAGGGTAGGCAAGTGAACTCATAAAGTTTATTGTTGAATATAAATCTCAAAAATTTTCTATGTTCCAGATCCATTGACACAAGATAATAAGCGTCCTTGAGGTCAAATGTAGCCATAAAACAGTCCTGTTTTACTGACTTCAAGGCTGTTCTATAGTCCTCCATTTTAAAATGAGGACAATCCACAAATGAGTTTAAACCTTTTAAATTTAAAATAAATCGTTTTTTGCCGTTGCTTTTATATGCTAAAAAAATATTTGAAATATAATGGCCACTTAAAAGGAGTACATTCAACGATAGCACCCAGGGTTAGAAGATCTTTTATAGCTTGTTGCATGAGAGAATCTTCGTTTTTAGAGGATTTTTTATTGGGAATAACTCTGGCTTGGTGAGGTTTCTGAGCAAAAGGAATTTTGTAACCTTGAATCCACGAAATAATGGTTTTATTCTGTGATATATGAGCCCCAGCCTCCAAAAAATGAGATAGCTTACCAGCGATATTTACCTTTACTGTTTTTGGCGATAATGATGCTGCTTGCTGTTGTAGCTCTTCGAGGACTGGCCCTTCTGAGTCCTCGCCTCCTTCGACTGGCGGGACGGGCCCTGCTTGTTTAAATGAGCTCTGAAACCGGATGATCTATTAGATGCTCCCTGGTTACCTCCCCCCCTTTTAATGGAAGAAAGGCCCGATCTAGCAACGTAACTGCTAGTTGGGCGTATATATTTTCCAGTCTTCTCCATCGCTTTAGCGACTTTAATCTGTTCAATCAGGTCAGGGCCGAACAAAAGTTCCCCAAGAGCTGTTTTTTCTAAGGTGGACTTTACAGATTTGCTGACTGTCTGCATTATCAACTTGCGTCTGGTTTGCGAAATATTGAAAAATAATGTCGATAAAATGCGGCCTGCATCGTTGAGAGAAGGTAAAACTGTCTCTTTGAATGTCGAATTTGGGTGTTTTTTGATTTCCTCCAATACTCCATTAATGCCCTTTCCCAGAGCTGAAATGCCTCTGCCTAATTGTTCCTGGAAGCCTTTGTGACTAGCATCCCTTTGCAAATAGCTTTCGGACATTATTTGAGTCATTTCTGGGTTCACCAGAGGAGGCTCAAGCAATTTACAATTGTCCGGGAAATCATGACGTTTGAGGAGTTCATCAGCGTCCTCTTTGACCAAACCGTGGTTTAGTAAATGGCCCCATCGAGTCGCAACCGCCTCATGTAATGAAAAAGATTTTTTTCTTAACATTTACAGGGTCATCGCCTAGTACTTCCAGGACTGACTCAGGAAGATCGGGAACATCTACTGGGAGACCTGTGTCATCATTTAAAATCAGAGAGTCATATTGTGATTCCGCCGCAATTTCTTCTGGACATATATCTGCCGCGCTGTACAAGCTACGGTCTGTCGCGCTGTTCAAGCTGCGAGCTGTTAGCCCAGAAGGTAGCGAGCCGTGCGAGGGTCGCTCAATGTTGCGTTGCGGAGAAACACAAAGTTCTGCTGCCGAGCGGCAGCTAGGTGATCGTTCAGTCCGAAAAGATCTATTCGACCTGGAGCGGTAGCAACTGGCATTTGTGTCAGTCCTTGATTGAGAACGGCGCGACGCCTCTGGCTAGGACCAGCTGTAGAGTTCGGGGAGCGAGTAGAACTGCACCGGGGAGAGCGTGACTTAGAGTGGTTAACTCTCGACCGAGACCTACTATGCCTTCGGTGTGAATCACCTCTACCTCGCTTCTTCACTTCCCTAAGCTCTTTAACCAGCTTATCAACTTTTCTTTCTAGGTGCCTTCTATCACGAGAAGGGCTACGCCTTCCTCTTGGTTTACCCATAATAGGTGTCTAAAGTAAACAAATTTCCCAATACGTGAATGCTAGAAGGAATTAATTAACAAGTGGATCGAGTTATCTTGCTTCTAAAGCAAAGAAGATAAATATTTATAACCTATAGAGGTCAAAATCAGAAAATCGTTCCACATAGAAAGAAAATAATAAGCAAATAGCTACGCCAATATACATCTAAAAATAAAAATAAGAAGTCATAAACACTTACTGTTGAAAAGATTTCGATTTCCAACGAATAAATACACAAAAGAATTCCGTTGAATTCTCAACAAACATCGATTTTCGCACCGTTAGGTAAAAAAAAATAGTGGTGCGACGGGGTACATGTACACGCTAAGCACACAAAAAGACGAATGAAGAGTCCGAGAACGGGTGGATGGGAGAACAGGTAGAGGGATGAAATGAGGAAAAATGGAATCTTTAAAATGTGTGCACCAAAGTACACCAAAGGCGTACTACCTAGTTAATATATCTTCGGAATGGATGCTGAAATATAATTAAAAATTGAAAAAATAACATGACAATATTTTAAAATTAAATCCATTTTAAACACACACCTTCTCAGTTTCGTAAGTTATTTATAATTTTTCGTACGTTACGTTAAGTAGATGTAAATGACCCTTTACTCATCGTTCCGTTTCTAAGCATCTGGCAACATAGCACAAAAAAGAATAGATGCTTCAGGTAGTTGAACCATTTCAGATTCAGCAAAATAATCTAAAATATCCACAAAGTTCAAAATAATATAAATGCTGCCATCTATCCATCATCTGCGTAAAATTCAAATATCTTTTATTCATTTACCAGTACTGCCATCTAGTACCTGATGGATTTATTTTTCAAAGTATGATTTCAATTATTTCGCATTTGACAGTCATTTGTATTTTCATTCAAAGAAATTATATTTATCTCACTGTCAGCAAATGGATATATTTCTGTCTTTCTCTCACCTCTGATTCTGAAATAATCATTTTTTGGCTTTATGACCTAATTAATTACCAGTTTTTCATTTTTGACATAACCTTAATTTAAATTATTATAATTTTTAAATAATTAAAATAATTCTGGTGGATTTTTATCTATTCCCTTTTATTCCACGTGCGTTTTTATTGTGATTTCATTGTGAAGTGAATATGATTTTTTGGGTGTACTTGTCTGATTGGTTGAACTGGTTAAAATGCAGTTGAGTATAAAAAACACAGGATCGTCTTCCTGTGGGCTTTGGTTTTTAAAACGATCTCTTTCCCAAACCGAAGTCTGGCAGGCAAGTCCTCTCTATTTTGAATAATTTTTGCTTTGTATTTTTGGATTCTCCCTTATAGATTTTTCAATATATTTTGCTATCAATGCATATTATCATATCATTATTAAGTTTATACCTGAAAATTTTATCTTATCTGTTCTTGAAATATAAATATTATATTATACTTTTTTTTATCTACTTCTTCTATTTTGCGTGAGTGTCGATTGGTAGTGCCACATTTATCTGAGGTAAGTCAATTCAGATTTTTGGATTTTAAAAAGGTACTGCTGCTCTGGCTTTCAGAATGAATTGTTAGTGTGGGGATATTGGACCATTTGCTCTAAATAGAGTCGGTGAAAACCAAATTTTTGTGTCCATCCCTATCAACTCTTTATTTAATCCAGGCAGAGGCCTGAATAGCCATTTTCTGTTTGACTCCCTCAATTATTATTTCGACTAAAGGGTGTAATTTTTTAATAAAAATCCAGACAGGTCAAAAATTCAGTTGAAAGTTTTAATGAGAACATCTCAAGAATTTTGACATATTCTGGATTTTATTAATTTCAACCCCAGGTTTATCTTGTAGTATCTATAGTAGCTATCTTAATTTGAAAGGAAAATTTTGTCTATTTGGGGGATAATCCAAAGATTTAATTTCTTATTGTTTTACCTACCTTATTTTGTTCATATTTTTACCTGCCAGAGCTGCTGTCAGGAAAGCAGCATTTTGCTCAATTATACCGAGCATTTTAATTTAATCTTGTTATTATTTTTATTTTATTATTATCTTACCATTATTCTTAATTATTTATTTGTATTTTTTTTTTTTTCAACTTACAATAGCTGTTCATACCTGATTCTGTTGGAAGGGAGTGTCTGTACAACAATCGTTTTATATTAAATTTCAATTTCAATTTCCTTTGCAAGACACTCACTTTTTGACAGAATTCAGGGATTTAATATTCCAAATATTGGTGAACCTGATACTGCCTTATTCGTTTCTAGGTACCTACTCGACATAAATATCACTGTTTGGAGTCTGGATCAGCTGGAGTGACGTTACCCCAGCAATCTCTCCTCTTCCTGGATACAGGAAACAACACGAAGAGCTCCAGTTCACAAAAGTGAAACCCCAACACCCATTGAAGAGCTCCGGATTCGAAAGGTATATGGTATCAGATTCACTGGAAAAACCAAGCTGTCTGTAAAATTTTAGTTACAGAGTTACATTTACTGTTACTATATGGTACTACTTATCTCTGGTTATTACAGAACATTGTAAACGAAATAAAATTATTGTTTGTTGGATTTTGAGTGGTTTCATTTACACATAAAGGGACTACACGTTATCTTAATTTTTTTTTGAATTCCACGACACGAGGTTATTTTGTCTTAAAGTAACAAATTCCAGTTTAATTTGTAACAAGTTAACAATGATCGAATGTTGAATGCTTTGACATATTGTCAAGTCAATGTCATCGGCATCGGACGTCAAGGGCGGTTTAAAGGGGGTGGGTAGAGGGGGTAAATACCCCCCCAGACAAAGTTTTTTTTTATACATTTATTAATTACAACAAAATTTCAACAAAAGACAAGTTCTACAAAGTAAAGGATTAAAGGCATGGTACGAATATGATAGGCTCACCAGTACCGTCGTACCTACCAAGGCTCCTAAAGTTCATAGGTTTTCTGGTAATGAGTAACTTGATGACGCATCTGGGGTGCCTTATGCAGATTTGCATTATATTGAGGCACCCCAGATGACGTCATGAAGTTATCAGGCAACCTACCTCTCTCAAACAATCTTGCGTACCTACTACTATACAGTGCTATGGTTGTTTGAAACGTCTTGTATTGTGTACAGTATTGCGAACACCCTGTAGATGTTAACAGATTTTCCTAGGACCATGAAGTAAATGTATGCACTGACAACCTGTAAAAGCTTCCAATGGATGAAATAATATGTTGGTTTTTGTTAACACAAGCTGCGATTTATTGAAAAAATATTAAATATTTTAAAAACGGTCGAGTTTTGGTATAGATGATTCCTAACAAAAACTGTGTAGGATTTTTAGAACGATAGAATGTACTAAAATATAGGGTGTTCCATTTAAAAATAACAAAGTTTTGTCGCATACCCCATTTACCGAGCACCCTGTATATTTAAAAATATTTTTAAGTAATGCACCTTAGAGAATCAAATAACTTTGAATTTTTATTTATTTTTTTCTCGCATCACCCTGTAAGAAGATATCGTCCGATATCGCACTAAGTGGACACCCTGTATTACTATTTTGACGGCATCGGGATACATTTTTGCCCGAAGCGTGTTTTTTAAACGACTTTCGAGTGCAAATTTGAGCGTGGCCCCCAAAAAAAATTTCGCCTCCGGCGGTACGTTGCGACACTTCAAGATTTTCTCGTCATCCATTACCCCCCCAGAAAATCATGTATGGACCGCCACTGTCGGACGTGTCCTTCATATGCCGATATTTTACAATTTCTGTTGATGTCAGCGACATCTAGAGGAGAAGGATAAAGTAACATGTGGCTTATTTCTTGTAATTAAAGATCGCCGGGCATGGCTGTCATTTTGGTCCTCTTTTTGGGTGTGACATCAAAGATGTGGTTTGGTCATTTCTTTTTGGCTACGGAACGTGGAAGAAAATCACTTATCTACAACACTCTTTTATCTAGAAAGAAGTTCGTCTTAGATCTATTTTTGATATTTAAAAATTCCAGCAAAACCTGGTGTTACCTAATTGGAAATGAGCAGCTTTCCAAACTTATCAGTTCGAGTTGGAGTCTCACACGAACAATTTTATAGGGACCGAAATAACACCCAGGTAGCACCTAAGTTTTTCTGAGTTTGACTTAAGTTTGACCAAAGTTAGAATCAGGTCCAGCACAGGTATAATTGCGATAAAAAAAGTAGTGGTCCAACAAAAATTTCCTGGTCTATGATGACTATGTGTTAATATGTACTTCCCCAATGATAAATACTTCAATAAGCTTTTATCAAATGACTATTCAATTCGTCTCATTACTTATAGTTTTTTTAAAATAGAAAACCACATAATCTTCACCAAATTCAAACAATCCCGACGCCTGATGTAAACAAAAGCACCTGTATCGAGATATTTATTTATGAGAATTTACTTTC